CGCGCTAGCGAGGATGATTTTCTTTCAAAGCTGTTAATTAAGCGTGAATACTCCTCAAATACCCTCTTCCCTCTATTATACAATATGATCGAGCAAAACAAATTTTTGGTACAATCCGGCGGCGTGCGATATATCGATTTATCTGCCACTTAAACCTATGGAAAAGTATCGATAAATTGGGTGTTCGCGACGGACACCCAATCGATTCTTTACCATACCTACAAATGGGGAAATATCGATAATCGATCATTCACGCCTCACCATTGGTGCAACAGTCAATGAAGCACTCGACGTAATCTTCGACTGCTCTAAGTTAAACTACAATTGACTATCTCCTAGCAGAATTTTTCAGGTTAGAATTAAACGGAATCGCGGAGAAGTAACGGATAGCAAATGTGAAAAATGCACTGATACATTCGGGGTTATAACTCACCTAAAGAATTAAGCGGATACTAATCCACGCACCAGGATCGACTTTATTATTGATCAAATATTTATGATCAAGATCCTCTTACAACATTAAAAAGTGAGCAACTTTCCATCAAAAAAGTTCTGATGCCACTTTCCCATTTACTTTATTGAGGAAAATACAATATTGTTTTACCTTATAGATTGATTCGACGCACACAATCGTTTGACCCCGCTAAATGGACGTATTTACACCAAAAGAAACTATGTTCCACGCAATCCTTATGCATATACTTCCTTTTCGCATAAATATGTTCATGAGATGTCATTGGTTTACTCACCTGTAACAAAAATAAGAACAAAAGTGATCAGTGGACATATTGAAAGTGTCACCTCAACCAAATTCAATAAAAATTATGTTTGCAGACAAAAATTACTTAAGATTAAATTGTAAGAATGCAACGCGTTATTTAATCGTGTTTTTCAATATAATCCGTCCTATAAAAATAAGATAAGCGCTGTTTGCGTTTAACGACTTCAGTCCTTTTTCAGAGCAATGATTCGAGAGGGCTCTCGCCTATTTCTTTAGAGACTTCCTCGTCTCATCACAATTAGAAATTTTCGTTACGATCCGGCAGCTTTACACTAAAAATTGTGTTAGTTTGAGCGTCTGTCTCGCACCTCCTTAAATAGTAATTTTGGTAAAAACCAAGATAAAAGGAAATTTGTGATCAAAGTGAGACAAAAATAACGACGAGGATCCTTCACTCGTGCAAGAACAGCTTATCGACAAACCATTGGGATAAAACTTTTCAGTGGCGTGTGGCGCACTTTGCGATCTATCGATATTTATCCCATTTGGAGCAGTGGTAATTAATCGATTCTTAAGGTGTTCGCTGCGAATACCCTGTTTATCGATACTTTTCCATAGGATTAAATGGCCGATCAATCGATATATCGCAAAGCACGCCACGCCACTGGAACTTTCACTGAACGAATATCTTCTGCATAAGAAACATGAGCCCTGTCCCTTATAAACTTTCTGAAATGGACCACTAGACAAGGTACGAATTTAAGCAATCTGATACATGTTTCTTAATCAGAATTTCACGCAAAACACAATTCTTACAACGAAAATTACTGAAACCAACTCCCAACAAAGATATTAACGTTTTTATTTCACATTGGCTACAAGGAATTTGAACTGCCCGCTCACAAGAAACTCAGAGCTCTACGCGAGTCAAATCGCGCACTACAACGGTTTCAGCAAGCCTCTCAATCGAGCAATGTTCATTTTCCACCATGTGTTGTTCAAACTTTAAGCTATTTGCTACAGCTGAGCCAAAGCGTCAAGATTGAGGTTGCCAGATTTTTACATCGCAGAGACTATCATGATAACGTTTAGCGCGCGATGTGAATCACTTAGAGCATTGAGTTTTAATGAGCGGGTGGTTTGAATTCACACATCTAGAGTCATCAAATATCTTAGTAAGGAGTTAATTTCGTTAATTTTCTATGTGCGCATCGGGTTCTACGTGAAATTTTAGTTAAGAAACATGTATCAGAATGCTGAAATTCGTACCTTGTCTAGTGGACCATTGTTGATACCGTTGCAAAGAAATTGAGGGAATTTGCAGAAATATGATTCTTACTTTTTCCTAGTCTATCGGGATTGATAGTCCGAGGAGATTTGTGACGTCGTCAACGAGATACGAGGTTCTTGCTCGGCGCAGATTAGCGGATTTTTCCGCTTTCGCCGCGCTTGGTGATCGCGTTACAAGTCAGCACAACCATCACCCAACTCTTCCGACTCCCAGGCGACGCGGCGCGACGGTGCGATCGACCGTTAATTGACGGCCACCGTAAAAACCCGTCAAAAATATCGAAATTTGGTATCAGTATCGATTTTCGACTTTCGTAGCTGAGGACGGTGAGAAGTATCGACGTAGGCCGCAATCACCTCGACGAATCTGGATCCAACTATGATCAGGAAAGCATTATCTCCAACCGTCCGTGAATCCACACAATTAGAAATTGTTACGTTCGACGATGAACAGTTAACGCGGCGATCAATTAAAAAACATATCTCGTTGCGCGCGTCATCGCCCGCGCAAATCTCGAGATTAAAGCCCGCGCAAAGCGTTATTTTGATGGATTTCGCCAAAATCAGCCTACCTACATATAATGTGGCCCAGTTTTCTTTCTCTTTTTCTTCGTTTAATGGAAAAAAAACATTGTAACGTCCGAAAACTTTCTGGGAATTTTCGGTTATTTATAAGGCCAGGATTCCATGTTTTCGAGTCCGAATGTTGCTTAGTTTTCTTGTAGCTGATAAAATGTGCGCAAAAATTGGGCAACGGTTGTTGTAGTCACCCTGACTCTGATTTGTGAATCATATTTTATACTCGAGGAATGCGTTGCCAAGTTTGGTTGCTAAAATTCTGGAATACACCTGGTAATTCAGAACTAGGAGCAAAGATTCTAGGATAGTAGATATAATAGGTCATCACTTTTAAGTCCTTTCTAAACCGTGATCCATTGGAGATGTGGCTTTCAATGATTTAAGAAAATAAATGATTGTTTTGACACATGCCTACGTTTATCAAAATAAATGAAAATTTATACACTACGCGTTACTAATATTTGATCCGAGGAGAGGGAGATTTCATTTAATGGGGGGCAATGGGGGCATTAACGTTACAGAAATCAATTTTGAAAGCTGCTCGTTTATTGATGATATTTATAACTATACATAGAGCTTGTCTGGTATGGTTATGTTAACGGGATCATGATTGAGAAGTTGCCAAAAGAGACGCTTGATTGGGTACTTTCACGGGGGAGGGGGGGAGACGAAGGGGACACCCAGTGAAAGGATGGCGGCAGGGAGTTTTACACGAGAGGGGCGGTGGAATGACAGCGAGCCTAATTGTATGTATGCGTATAAGTATGATACTAATTGAAACATTCCTAATACTGAAGACGTAGAGTTGTATTGTGTACATAAAACACGACCTTGCGCCTGGTTGAGGTCTCCTACTCTTTCAAGGAATTCAACAGTTTGAGACGCGTGTGAACAAACATTTTTACGATCGGTTTCATTGAAATATAAAACAAATCTTTAGAGAAAAAATGAATCGGTCTCCTCCTCTCTCGCCACTCAATCATACCATGCTGAGATTTTTCGTCATCACTGCCGTCGTTTCGACGTGCCGACGCCCATAAGTTTATTTGTGAGTAACGCTTCAGTCTTCCGTTCAATAAGTAGAGCTTTCTTCTAATTTAAGACGTTCTTCTCCAGTCAAATTTCTAGTTCGTGGCCTGTTGATTTGTTTTTAAAAAAAATGAATGTGAAAAACACAGAAAAATAACGAATATTTCAAAACGTGAGTATGATTCTAAAATTTTGAAATTTCGATAACGATTTTCTTTCTTTTTACTTAATTGTGCATAAAAAAGTGGACGTGCAATTTATTGTAAAGAGTATTGATTATTGTTTTAGTGATCACACTGTATGCGGTTTGAATTAGGAGCTGGGTCGTCTAGTTGCCGGAGCTAAATATTGCTGATGCAATTTCCCTGGAGGAATTATTGTGATTTTTTTTTCACTCCTGGAGATAATTTTTTTGACAAAGGTACACTATTGGTATTAATTTTGTACTATCTCTCGACTACGTTTTCTCTATTTTAATTTTGCTTGATTTAGACGACATGAATTTAAATAACAGAGAGAGTACATTGACTTAACTTGAGAGTTTGATTGTATTGTAAAAACATACACCCATAAAGTTTGAGGAAAGTTAAAAGCTCCTTAAGTCACCATGTAATATTTCTAGTGCAAACTCCTGCAACTTGCTTGCATTGAGACCCTTAAAATTTACTTCGAAAATCATGTTCCGTAACTATTCATATCAATAATTTAACTATGCTCAGAAAATCATTCCTTCCAGTTCTCTCCGGGGAAAGAAAAACAAGCAGGAAGCTCCAACGCATTCGCGTCGGAAAGCGGCTCTGGCGACGGTAGGTAGTTGTTACGCGTTTACGGTTTCCTTGGTAACCTTTGTTTGCTATCAGCTGATGTCGAGTAGTATGACTAGGAAGCTCCAACCACGGCATTCTTCGAAAAAAGCGCGAAAACTTATAGATTTGAATTTTCAAATTTTAAACGTAAAGTACATTTTTTCCAGTGCGAGATTAAAGCACAGACCCGTTTTGAATTATTGACAGTATCACCATGATTCCAAAAATACACTACACAACATAGCATTCGCTCACAGGAAAAAGATATCAATTAAAATAAAATCAGTCCCCCCTAAACAGCAGAAAATGGCGCCGATTCCCATCAACCAACACGCGGTCTCTCCAATGTAACATGGTCCGTTGATACTCCCCAGCTGGGGCCGTCCGGAATAGCAGCTCTAGTGCAAGCACCAGAGCCGCTAAAAGATTAAGTAAAATATACGTATCAAAAGCGAACAAATTCAAATTTTCTAAACAAAATTCCACAATTTGATTAACTATCATACAGAAAAAATAAAAGCAGGCACTCTTGATGAAAGCTTTATCAAGTTTTATTTTTTTTCTTGATTAGATGGAATTTTGGAATGCAACTCCTGAAATAACTGCTAATTCGTCATTATGCATTGGCTTAGTGACAATCCTATTGATCTTTTACATTCAACAACGGTGGAAGTATAGACGAATTAATAAATTTATGAAGACTTTGCAAGGACCACCATGTATTCCTTACATTGGAAATGCTTATTTTGCCCTGCAAATAAACGACCGAAGTAAGTAAATAGAAGCTTTCGTACTCATGATGTACTACCAGGTAAAATAGATCTATGGACATGGATATCACTTAATTCACCTCTGCCTTCATATTTGAATATTAATTACTATTTTCAATCCTGAAAGGAAGACCACATTTAGATCGGACTTTGCACTGAAAGTGTTGGTAACGACTTAAGAATGATGAAAGTACGAAAAAAGGGGAAGACAACTAAAGATAGATGGAGGGATGAGATGCTATCTAGAAAGCCAAGGCTCATGAGGGGCTGTAGTGCCGTTTAGTCCGAGAGTCCAACGATATTTCGTAACTAACTCGGGACACAAGTTTTGACCCCTTAAATTTCCTTTGACATGGAAAATCTTACTTTTGTGGTTGATTTATTTATTTATTTGTTTATATTTTTTTTATTTTTTTTTAAAATCAATATTGTTTGTTACTTTGCCAAAGTGACTCGGTTTTTAATAAAAAAAAACCAACATAGTTCTCTCCATCCCCTCGAATGAGCTGTTACAGAAAGAATGCAAATCTTCCTCTGAAAGAATGATAAACTGAATGCAACTTAAATTTTCTTAAAGCGACGGTGTTGAAATGGAAGAGGCAAACTTATATCATTTATGAATTTATACGATTAGTCGTTATCACCATTTTCACCGCAATATGAGATGTATCTATAAATTTCTTCTAAAATTTCAAATTATTCTACACGTAAATAAATATTATAGTTGAGTTGACTCCCTACTTTATGCGAGAAGAGACCGAGGTTTGTGAGCTATGCGCATTTTAGAAGTCATTTTGATGATTGATAAGTATCGATTCATCACAATCATAAGTTTATAAGTAAGTAATTTCACTCTACGATATTTAATTAGAAGGATGATTCAAGTTTGCACGTTGATAAAACTGGCTGTTGGGGGCGTCATATTCAAAGGCGTTTTTCTATCTTTATGACCTCCGGAAGATAAACATAAAATCATGGAGAGAGCCCTCTGATATGGAATTTCTTTGTTGAATAGGAGTCTACTATTACTCTTATTATTCTTATTATTACTAGTTCATTATTTCCAGATTTGTGCAATGTACTAAAGAGTCAAATAGAGAAATTTCCAAATGGTGGATATTGGGTAAAAAATATGCCTTGGTATGTCACTGGAGATCTCAAAGTGATAAATGTAAGTACAATATACTAGATCTCATTCGGATTAAAAATATGGTAAATATACCCAACTGTCGATATAGGTAGTGATTGTGACAGTACAATTTGCAGATCTGCTAAACGTAACGTCTTCAATGCCAGGAGTCTGGCACTGGCTCCTAGATTACCTGAGAAACATAATGGTCCTATACATTCTTGTTCGAATCCACTTTCATTCTCTTTTTTAGACCCTAAAAATTATAATTAAATAGGCTTCTCTTAATTGTACCTTACAAAATGTGACAGAACGTAAGGGGTATTGGAAGCAAAGTATCTGAAATTGTTTTCTCATAAAAGTGCAAATGATATTACGTCGCCAACAGGTTTTTTTTGACTTTTGTTTTTTTTGTTTTTGTTTTTGTTTGTTTTTTTTTTTTGTTTGTTTTTTTGTTTTTTTAACAGGTCACTAACAGATTGCCTATACCATTAGAAGTTGCTTTTGAAAAAGGTGGACAAGTAGCATATCAATTTCTTTTAAAAAAACCTTGTATGTAGTGTCGTAAATCTGACAGAATAGTTTGAATTTGACACCAATTTTAATAATTAGTGGATTGGCTCATGTCTTTTATTTTTCAGGCCCTCTTAAGCAGTAGCCAAAATATAGACAAATCGTACATTTACTCTTACTTTAAGGAGCATGCAGCCGGAATCATTTGTGCTAACGGTAATGTGTTACATTATGATCTTTCTAAGAATAAATCAACGTATTCACCAATCAAATTCATCTAAAAAATGAAATTGAAATATTTTCTTTTAGCAATTTCAATTTATTTTAAAATGCTGGGAAGAGGAGCCAACTTAAATTCAGTTTCTGTTCTATCTTTTATCCCTGTAGAGCATTAAAAGTATTTTCATAATTCATGCTCAGTTAAATCGGATGACTAAACAAATGGTATCTCCGAAATTATTTCATTTAATTCTCTTGCTTAAATTTGTATACATACGAAAAAAGAAACAAACATACACCATGAGATTTTAATGAGCTTTCGACATTAAATTGGTAGGTTTAAAGTTTAAAAAATATTAAATTATAATTTTTAGGAGAGGACTGGCGCCTGATAAGGAGAACCGTCAATCCAAGTTTTCATACCAGCGTCTTGAAATCTTTCGGCTCTACTTACAGCCACCACACGAAAACATTCATTGAAAAAGTGGAAAAGTTTGCTGATGACGAAATGATGGTCGACTTATTCGTTCCTCTCCACCTGTGCACGATGGACTTTATTTGTGGTATGATGCTAATTTTTAGGAGTCAGGTCAGATCAATAAAGAGAGCATACTTATTCTTTATTGAAAACTCTGATTCGATTAAAAGTAATTTGCAAATGAGGAGTCCAAGGATCCAAATTACAATCATTCCTATCACAGCGTTGCACTTTTCAATAAGAAACATGTCGAGTGCTAAAACAATGAGAGGACCAGTTGGAAGCAAATATGAACATGCTGATTATGAAATAATCGATAAATTACCTTTCGATTTGAATACGAAAAATCACTGTTAATACTTAGAAAAAGTTAAGTACACAATGGTTAAGTTCACATGGCTGCAGCTGGAAAAACAAAATTACGGCGAACAAATATTGACAATGACCATGAATGCCATGATCTATCTCACTAAATCGTGACGAATATTTGAGCGAATCAAACATTATTACACTTAATAATTACTTTTTTAAGGATTTCATTTCAAATCAAAATGTCTTTTTTGACTATATATTTGAAATTTTACATACTAAAAACGTGATCGCCACCTACTTTTCTGAGCTTCTGTCTTTTTATCCACTATTATAAATGTAACCTTTTTAATTTTTCAGAGAGCATGATGGGATGCAGGATGAACATTCAGAAACGGGATTTAACTTTCCTCTCCACCAATTTAGAGAAGTAAGTATTCATGAGTGACAAAACATTTGAACGAAGAGATAGTCATAGTTTAAGGAAATTGCAACATTGCAACTTTAATGGTAACTGATAAACCGCTTGCGGCAAAATCTCGTTGACAAAATTAAAGAAACTCTAATTTAGTCATAATGAATGATCAAATGAAGAACATACACGGTGTCCCAGACCACTGTCATTAGGCTTTGTTAGTTATTTTAAATTTGATGAGGTCGAGGACCACGGAAAGGATTGGTGAGTTGACCCCAAAGAGTCCTAATTCCGTCACCCGAAGTCCCCAACGTTTCTTTGGGGAGGAAAAAGGGGAGGCCTGCTTCGATATTTGGATTTTTACCCCAAAGGCAGGCGATGTAGGGCCTCGGGATGATAAGATTCGGATTCCTCGGGGTCAATTCTCTATTTGTACCCACGGTCCTTTACTTCGTCCGACATAAAATAACTGAGAAAAAAGGGAGGTCAGGGACACAATGTGTATCATAAAAATTGTTGAGAGTAATTTTCTCTTTCTGATTATTATAATTCTTTTTTCCCTTTTTCATTAGAAAAAAAAGAAGGTATTAGCATGTATGACTGACTATGATATAATTACATTATCATCACGATCATCATGACCAGAAAAATCAAAACAGCTGAACCAAACGTTTCTGAACCTGCATTGATCAAAAGGTTCTTTAGGATGTATAGCTGGTTTAAAATTTTGTGACTTATTATCCCGATGAATTTTGTGATTTTTCATCCCATGAATGTTCATTTGTGCAGGTCAACTGAAATGATTCACACGAGACTATTCAATGTGCTACTACAGCCAGATCTGATTTACTACCTTCTCGGGAAAAAACAGGAGTTAAATAATTGTGTGAAAGGAATGCATGCTTTAGCCAAAGAGGTTCGTTTTTCATCATTACATAAAAATTATTTCAGAAATATAAATTGCGATTATTGGCAGAAAATGAGAAGGAAACACGGAGAAGTTCGATCAAAAGAAATAAACACATACATGCATGAATGTAACATGGCGGAATAAAACTGGTATTTTAATTGTATCTTTTTAATTTTTTACGATCTTCTAATGGTTTCAGATAGTTGAATTGCAAACAAGGCGTGGAGAAGATGCAAGACACTCCAAATCTGAGACAGGTAATTTTTTCAAAAATTGAGATAAAAATACAACTCTAGATTTTTCAATATTACTCTAAAAAAAGGGTCATTACTAGATTAATCTTTTACATACCGTGGTCGAAACTTTTCACACATTTTGTGAGACTTATATTTTAAAAAATGATGAGGCATTTACCTAGCTATTTTTTATTTCAGAAAATTTTACCAAATTTTGAATTGGGCATGAGGTGAAAGTATCCAGAGCTTTCATGAATATATGAGTATATTTATGCACAATACACTTGATTAAATATTTTCAGAAATGGTGCCAGTTTTCATGGAAAATCTATTAAAGGCCGCCGAATCAGGAATCATTCCAAAAGAACGTGCCGTCGATGAAACTGTTGACATGATAATCGCCGTAAGTAAAATAACTGATGCATCACAAAATATACTTGCAACATATGGAAAGTGCGTTGTGCTAGTTTAAAACTTAAATATTTTTGACTGCTTAAAAACTAGGTGCTGACGTAGTTTTTACTCGAAATTCAATTGATTCTCTGCACAGTTTTATGAATTCGCATCTTTTTCTTGAAGTTATTTGTGACAATTGATCTGTTGCACACATGAGATACAGGCAAACGAAAAACCTTTTTTTCGTTAATCCCACAAAAAAATCACGATGAGCACATGGAAAAAGTCTGAAATTCACTTTACAGCGCGCAATTTGTGTAGTTTTTAACAAGCTTTTCCGAATCGCTTGCGGTATGCGGCAGCTGGCAGTTTATTTTTTTCGCCGTCTACCAGGTTTGCCCAGAAAGAGACGTGAAAAAATCCGACGTGAATAAGCAAACAAAACTTTGTCTTGCAGATGATATCAATCGTTTTTAGGCGCTTGTTGTCTTCTTATAACCTTGTGTTACAAAAACTTAGGCTTAGGTCGATAGAAATCATGCAAAAGGGAGGTTTGCAGGGCTGGATTTACCTCCTTGCCGCCCATGGGCCGCCTGTATAGTTTGCCGCCCCCTTCTCATTCGTTTTAAAACATCAATAAAAACCATCAAGTGAACGATCCGGTGGGGGGGGGGTGCATAAGACGCGTTTACTTGTGTTGGAAACATTTTTTGCGAAAGCCCTGTCAACACTACTAGCAAAAGTTCACGGAACTTTGCGCGAAAGTTAAGTTCCGTAAACCTATCGCTGTGAGGACAAGGTCTTCCATTTATAAGAAATGAACCAAAAAATTATGAAAGAACAAACATAAATGTGGTTTAATAAGTGTAACTTCTGCTGCCGCGCCGCGCTGACCGCACTGTGTGATGCAATGCGTGAAGTATTCATGCAGTCTTGTAGGCGCTGTGCGTTTCACGTCGACCGCTGCTGACCGCGTCGTGTTTGACGCAATGCGTGAAGTATTCATGGAGTCTTGTAGGCGCTAATATGTGTTACATGCCGATCGCTACACCGAGGGCTTCTCTTTTTCATCTCAAGTCTTAGTCATCATTGCCCTCTGCGCCGCGCCGCTCCAGGCGAAATTGCGTGTTTGGTTTCTCTCTTAAATCGACTAATTAAAGGTGCTGTCTCTTGTATCACCGAAAAACGACAAAAGTAGAACTTACTATACACTCTAGAAATGAGAGATTTTGTCGCCTTTTCTAGTTTGTAATTTTTTTCAGAATCCAATTTTTTTCATACCTACATGTAAAAAATTGCAAAATTTGCCGCCTCCTAAATTTGCCGCCATGGGCCGCGGCCCATAAGGCCATCCCCTAAGTCCGGCCCTGGAGGCTTGTAATAGTTTTAAAGATTTCTTCATTTACGTTTGATTTTTTTTTCTTGCGTCTCTCTCTCTCTCTCTCCCTCTCCCTCTCTCTAGGAAAACCTGATTGCTAGTCGTTAAGGAAAACGGCCCTCGAACGCAAGCAGTTTGAAAAAGCTCATTATATGAACTACGAAGATTTCGTGCTAAGGAGTTGATTCCAGAATCTGCCGTGCTAAGGAAGAACGCCGCATGAACATTGGAGAGTTGCCAAATTTCCCTCGATAAAATATGTATTTTTGACGACATTCATGCATATTTTCCCTTGAAATTTGCAGATATTTTAGATTAAATTGCGTACAAAATTGTCTGGAAATTTTGGGAAATATATTCGAAATTTTCCAAATAACTTCGGTTTTTAACGTCTGAAGGCTCATACGGCGTTTTTCCTTGGCACGGCAGATGATGATTTTGTATGCTCGTTACAACTTTCGTACGATTTTAGTACTTACTTCAGTAAATCGATTCATTTGGCTGTATCTCTTTTGAGCAACAGACTCAGTATATATTCAAAATGACCACCTCGAACCAAAAACAAAAAAAAATTAAGTTCATCATTTTGGGGAAGTCATATAGTTCTCAGACCTAAAAAGTGAAATTTTTCCTAGGGCTCTGTGACCACAGCAACAACCGCTGCTTGGATGCTCACAATTTTTGCCCAACGACCAGACATCCAAGGAAAAGCTTACAAGGAGATCATGGAAACTTGCGGTGGCCGAGAGATCACCATGGAGGATACCTCGAAATTTAATTACTTGGAGATGGTCCTCAAGGAGACATTAAGACATTTTTGCATCCCCTTCATCAGTCGCACGATAACCGAGGATCTCGTAGTTGACGGTACGTATTCGTAGTAGCACTAAATGGAGTAAGATTTATTTATTTTTCATTTTTTTTAACCTAATTTTTATTTTGGGCGATATGTTTCCTTGCAGAAAAGGACTCGGTACGGCATGGTGATAAGTTGAAATTTGAAGTCCTGAACTAAAACATTTCTGTTCGTTTTATGCTGTGATTCAAGGGTTTAACTCTCTTGATACGTTTAGCAAAAAATTCCACGAAACAACAATTTCTCATCAAGTTAGAGGACAGCTGAGCTTTTCCTTAGGGATAATCGAGAAACTAAGTCTATAATGAATTGAGAGGAGTTGTGCTTTCTTTTCTTTAAAAAAAAAAAGAAGAAGAAGAGGAAGAAAATTGTATAGTTTTAGCATTGAGGTGGCAATACTTAACGCGATGCAATCTATTATGAGAGCACGCATTTTCTTCAAAATTTGGCGCAAGGAAAGGGGAGAGGGATAAGGAAAACTAAAAAATTGTTCCTGGTAATTTTGTGCCCAGGAGTATACTCGTTGGCGGATGCAATCAGAGTCCGAATAGCATTGACTAAATTCTGGGAGTTCTTGAGCATGAGTATGATGGTAAATACTTTACCAGGACTTTGCTTGCCCTCATCCATAAGTTAACCTTGGCGCAAAATCCGACAGACTTATAATGCAATATTATGATATTAACTACCGATATTGAACGGAAAAATCACGTTACATGATACACAATACTAAACAAAGACACAAAGTCCCCTCCCTATTGACCCACGATATTTTCAAAAGGTAATAATTCGATTCGGAGTTTATTTCATTTTTAATAGTAAGAAACCACCAGTGATGAATACAGCCACCGCCATTCTTCAGTCTTTAATAAATTAGTGTTAATGTACACTGTAAAAAAATGTCTTAAGATATTATTTTGACTTAAAGCGTCGTTTCTTGTTGACAATATTTGGCTTTTTTTAAAGTCTGTTTTTTCTAGCAAAAGAAATGGTGTTTTGTTATCTTTTTTTTTAAATTTAGGCCTCACGATCGCAAAACAACGGTTCTTTAACTAAAAAACTGACTTTAAATAAATCTGCACAGATTTAACTCAAAGAAACCTCTTGTCAGCATTAAACGACGCTTTAAGTATACATCAAGAATTTTTTTTTTTTTCAAAGTAAGGAAGGAGACAATAATAATGTAACCCATATCTGTTCATGTCGATATCCTCATTTCTCTCCCACCCTTTCCACAGAGAATATGACGATTCCAGCGGAAGTTAATGTCATTTTGAGCCTTTTCGTGTTGCATCACAACGCTGAAAATTGGGAAAAGCCGAATGAATTTTATCCTGAGAATTTTTCACCCATGAATGAACTCAAGAGACCAAAAGGCGCCTTTTTACCGTTTTTAACAGGCCCACGGCATTGTCCAGGTAAGAAAATACTAAAATTATTGAGACTTTATTATTCACTTGTATTTTTCTAAACACACGCTTTTGTACCGTTAACGCAATGACGCCAGTTTTTTCGCAGAAATAATTGAACACCTTAAATTCTTTAGGTCGCACTGTGTTTTACTGTAATAAATCATTTTAATGAAATAAAATATTTTTCTCTTTTGTTTTCAGGGAGTAAGTACGCATTCAGTTCCATCAAATTCCTAGTGGCAAATGCTCTTTTACGTTACGAATTTTCATCTGATGAAAAAATGGACGACCTCCCTAACGCCAGTTATAGAATGATATTTATGTTGTGGCCCCTCTCTGGATTCAGGGCGAAAATTAAAAAGCGAGCATAGTATTAAGGAACATCATTTTATTTTTCAACATTGATCAATTATTCATAGAATGGAATGATGGGCGCCGTGGTTAAATTCCCCATGTCATCAATTTTGTGTGTTTTTGTTTGTTTGTAAGAATTTTGCACCACTTGAATTTGACACAAGTCAATTCATCTTCGTCAATATTTGTATTTCTGGTCAATTTTGCGACGAACATTTTTATTGATCGTTTCAAGTATATAATTTTATACTTTTTTTAGCCCTGTGTTCATTCTTATTTTGTAAATTTATTTATTTGTTAATGAATGCCTATTAAAGAAAATAAAGACATAAATGTGAGAAACAAGAAAATCTCTTGATTTCAGGACTAACGTGCCCCCTTTTTTATTCATCGGTGCATTTTGCATGCTAAATAGACACAATTGGACAGTAGCTCTCTTAAATCCGCCGAAAACTCAAAAATTAGAACAAAAACCGTATGCATCACTCAGACGCCAAAGTTGAGTGACGTTGCGATCCGCCTTGTTAAATACAACTTACTTTGTTCCACGGAAATAAGAGGTCCGGCACTCGACATCGCCTAGCGGTTTCAGACATCCAGCACCGTTCTACACCCCAGGGGCGGAACTCGCAACTTTTCAGGCTCCTTCCTGCGAGCTTGAGAGCGTGCGTTACACTAATGGCAGCTTAATCTGTTGAAGCCGTTGCACGGATGAGACTGCTCCTTGCCAACGGGAACAATGTATGCGCCAGTTTTGGCACACCGTCTGACAAGACGGGCCTTAGGAGACGTTTCAAATAAAAGTAGGTGATGAAATCTTCTGTTTCTCAGGCACAATTGCCAAGCGTGGAAATAAAATTAATAGATGGGTGTCTCTATTAAACTGAGAGTATTTCTGAAAATCAATTGAATCGTCATTGGCCGATCCAGCAAATTAGCAGCATTGTCTTTTCTCCAAAACACATGGAAATGTATCGATGTAATCGATTATTTACCGTAGGTTCAAATTGAGGAATTCCGGTATTGCCAAATTTCCTCTCCGGTGCGCCTCTGTGAAGCGTGCGTCGTGCGAAAACGGCTAATGCCCATTTTTCCAACTTTCAATTTCTTTTTCAGGTTAGTAATACTTTTCAGGAGTTGATAAAATCATGAAAGTAGCGTTAAGGCTCGTTTTGGTCCCACTTTCATGGTTGCGTTTAACTCAGGAAAGTATTATCAACCTAAAGAGACTCAAGACTGGAAAAATGACACTACAGCAGTTTTCACACGACATGATTCATTAAGGTAACCATTATAATATTAGTGCGTACCAGTTAGCCTTGTTTAGTGCTCTTGTATAGATTCGCTGGTCAATAGGGTGTCAAAAAAAAAATTCTGGATTTACCTTCAGTTCTTTATCTCGAGGTTATGGTGTTTACAACCGGTTCGATAGAATTCTGCATGAATGGGCCCCAAAATTATGTGACAATTCTTATGAGCTTCAAATAGAACAGAGTAGAAACCGGTTACAACAATGAATGAACGTAAGCTCTGCAAGCTACAATGAACTCAATGGAACTAGTTGGTTTCTCTCCGTCTAAAAAAATCAGCATTAACAGCTTCTTGTGAGAAAATCTACTTCGGTATTTCATTCTATTGCAATCTGCGGAGCTTGGCTCCTGAGGAGACCGTTAAAAGTTCTATAATCTTCGCCACAGTGCACCCGACCCTATAAAGAACTTGAGACAACTGCGAAACAGTAGTCCGTTAGGTCATTTGAATGCAGATTAAAAACGAATGTACTTTGCGCTGGTTCGGACAGCGCACAAGGTGTATTGAACGCGTATGATACGTTGTATTATCGTGTGGCTCTTTGTAAAAGCTCTAAAGTGTACACTCGCTCGCCCGATCAGCGTGTTCCCTAGTAGCATGATTCACTTTCCCCTTCCTAACAAACGTATAAGGAATTAATACCGGTTATATAAGCACCATTTTAACTAAAGTTTATGTATCGTGTATATAAGTTTTATATAAAATGCCCATGAAAATAATTATTCATATTTTCAGAAGATAACGTTTATATAAAATTCATATAATTGAGGAAGGGTTTTTATAAATTTTCTTTATACGCATAGTATCCTTTTGCTTAATTTGCTTAATATAACTGTTATATAAATGACCTGAATGACTTTAACGTAAACCTATCTCATTTTCATGAATGATGATGATGATCTCATTTCAATGAACACCCTCGACTCTCAGACTGCGTGGGATAGGTATTATTAGAGGTATTAGTGGCTCCGAGACGAGTTAAAAGGGGATATTTCGGCACACAATCCGAGGAGCCCTGTTACCTCAGTTGGTAGCGTGTCTGGCTCATAACCCTGCCCAGTTAGACAGCAATATTTTAAAAATATTTTAAAAATATTGAAATTTAATATATTTTTAAAACGTTTTTCATGTATTTTTAAAATATTTTCAAAAATACTTTTGAAATACAATCAATGAATATTTTTAAAACATTTTAAAAATATATTAAAAATATAAGAAATTAAAATTTTTAAAATAATATTTTATAATATTTTTAAAGTATATCATAATTATTTTTGTTAATATTTTAAACATATTATTAAATATTATTTTAAAAATTTTAATTTTTTTTAAAATGTTTAAATTAATATTATAAAAATTTAAAAGAAAAAAGGAAATGAAAATAATAATAAATAAATAACATAAATACATCGACATAAATTCAAACTAGAAAAAGGCCCAAATATAATTATAACTGGAAAAAGACGCAATTATAAAGTTAAAAAAATAGAGAGAGAGAGAGAGAGTTAAAAAAATGAGAGTTAAAAAAAAATAGAGAGAGTTAGAAAAAATGATAGTTAAAAAACATGATAGTTAAAAAAAAGAGAGAGCTAAAAAAATGACAGAGAGTTAAAAAAAAATGAAAATGAAAAAATTACATCATTAAATAAAAAACAATAGATAAATAAATAATAAATAATAAAGTCTGGTAAAATATTATAAGAATCCGTCAATAAACAAACATATTACGGACTCAGAGGCCTGCGATAGTTAAGAGATTGAATTTAGGGGCCCATCCATATCAAGCCTGGCTGGTCTGGTGGTAAAGTACTGGACTTCGGAGTGCAACTCCATCCCGAGGTGTGGGGGTTCTAATCCCGACTAGGACGCCGCGGATTTAAGGTAAGTCACAACTCTACGATGATCCACCACCTGGTAGTAACGCATATGAAAACTTGCACACTTCATAACTAGAGTGCGCTACCAGCCAGGAAGAATAATGAAAATTCATTTTATACACTGTTTGAATTTGGTTATATAACTTTTATACTAAGGGTCACATAAAAAGCGCATTGAAAATGTAAACTTTTAACTAAAAAACTTTACATCCATTACATAAACAATGCATATTCTTTAGCTTGTGGTTATTTACGGTTTATACTTTTAAAAACAATTTTTTTATATAACTCTGCTACTAGGGTTATTAATTGTCATGGAAAGGGGACTCGGAAAACACGATTTTATAAGCACAACTTTTATACCCGTTCGTTAAAGTCTCCGAGTCTTTGTATCGAGATAAATTCATCAGCACTGCTTTTCTGTAAAAAGCGCTTATAAATCGCCAAGAAAATTGAGAAAATATAATCCGCGACGCAATGCGTCTCATGTCTCGCGACTGTTTTTCTACATTTTTCGGTTATTTTTCTCTTAATACTTGAGGATGGAGACGATTTCAAAAATGACCATTGTAAAGTTTTAGGAGAGCTCGAACTGCATTAAGTATACTGGTTAGTCGCAAAGAAAGTTATTTTTTGACTTAGCACATTTCTTCCGATTGTCGTAATAGCTGGGGACAGAAAAAAAAAAAGATTTTCATATAGTTTAGTTTTACTTTGAAAATAAAAACGAAACACAAATTGGCCTAATACCATAGAGCTATTACCAAACTCTTTACCAAAGAAATGAGCTGTTTAAGGAACGGCTATGATTACGATTCTCAGGATTTTTTTTTTGGGTAACCATGAGAAAAAGTGGCGCATTTTATCGAAGATATGACAATTTAAGCATCTTGTTCCTCCGGCTGTGATAAATCAAAGTCGGGGATTTCGATTCCCTTCCGTTTCGCGCTACCACCCCTACATGGGGTGGGTTTCGGCCGGAGTTCCTCTAGATGGTTAAACTATCATATGTTGGTTTAGGCTCTAATTTAGAATATACTCTGATCAGGAGTGAGAAAGGTTAAGGAAGATCGGGGACCGAGGTCGAGCCGACCAACTAAACCAAACTCATGTTAGCGTATCTGCATGGACAATGCCGGAATCATCCCTTTGGGATATGTCTTCGGCTGCAGCACTGTGTGCTGATTCTCAGGATCTGTGAAAGCCGCTATTACCTTTTTTTGTCTCTTATCATATCAACGAATTACTAGGTCTTCCTCTTAGAATAATACAATTCCTTAATCAAAAGTCGGATCGTGTGAGACCAGAATTGCCCTTGTGTCTACCT